GGTGGAGTGGGGGTTTGAGTGGAGGGGGCTAAAGAGGGAGGTGGATGTTCAAAATCTGTTGAAGACATCAAGAGCTCATTTTCAGTCTTTGCGTATTGCAGAGTTATCTTCTCTTGGGAGCAGGTATTGATTGTTACATCACTTGTTTGTGAGAGAAACGCCATCAATTTTTGAGAAAACGACGTAATTTTCTCACACAGACCGATGACGCAACAATCAATACCTGCTCCCAAGAGAAGATAACTCTGCAATACTCAAAGACGGAATATGGTCACACTGATTGAAGATTCAAGTATCCCTCATCAAGTCAAGGGAGGTAATTCATCAACTCCATCTAATAATAATTTCTCATAAAGATATTTTTAAAAGTATGTTGAAGAGTTCTTTCACCAGGTGATGAGGTATGACTAGCTTGAGGTTTCAGAGTGTCTGTCATCAAGTCAAGGAAGGCAACCAATGTTGACTCATGTAACACTACCATAATAATTGATAATAGATCCTAACAAGTTGAAAAGTGTAACCCTTTGTACTTGATGTATACTTGAGTATACAATAGTCAGGGTTCACTGACTCCAACAAGTAAGATTCTGCGCCTTCATATGGCTTCACACATATGAACGTGAGAGACCATATCTGATTGGATGAATGGGTGAGTGTGTGTCATTTCCTCAAACCAATCCAAATCCAGCCTGTTAGGGTATCACCCCATCCCTTATCATTGTTCATTCCCTGGTCATTTGTAACTTATTAAACTCTCTAGATATCTCCTGACAATATGTGAACTGGGTTACTAATGCACCCCACATTGGCGCCAATGTCACAGAGGTCGTGATTTTTTCAATGCCTCCGCTAGGTGTCAAACCCTGGTGTACTTGTGTTACACTCTACCGAATCGGCTAAAGAGAAATTCCCCCTAGCTGAGGCGGTAGGAAGGGGCTTGTATTTCACCAGAGTGACAAAAATGTAAATTTTATTTCTTGTTCTGGAACTGTAAAGAGCCATTTAGAAATCAATAAAATGTTTTATAGATTTTAAATCTTGTTCTCGAACTATAAAGAGCCATTTAGAAATCAATATAATGTTTTTAAAATTTTAATTCTTGTTCTTGAACTATAAAGAGCCATTTAGAAATCAATACAATGTTTTATAAATTTTAAATTTTTGTTCTGGAACTGTAAAGAGCCATTTAGAAATCAATACAATGTTTTATAAATTTTATTTCTTGTTCTGGAACTATAAAGAGCCATTTAGAAATCAATACAATGTTTGATGTTGACAGATTCCATCTTCAAGGGTAGCTATGGGAGTGCCCTAGAAAACAGACTAGAGGCAGACCTTGACATGATGCAGGAAAAGAAGCAGAGAATCGACGTGGCTCGGTACAAATGGACCAATGGGAGGGTCTTACTACAGCATGCTGTCAACCAACTGGCTGCAGCCACCACCTGCTGGTCGGATCTGAAAAAAGTCCCGACGGGGTAAGATTGATTCTCTTGCAGGGAACAAACTTAGCCACTAGGAAAGTTTGTGAGTGATATCAAATTTCACTTGCAAAATCAGAAAATTTGTGAAAGAAAAGAAATTCACTTGCAAAATCAGAAAGTTTGCAAGAGAAAACAAATATCACTCACAATATCAGAAAGATTGTGAGAGAAAACAAATTTTGTCACTCGCAAAATCAGAAAGTTTGCGAGTGGTAATATATTTCACTCGCAAAATCAGAAAGTTTGCGAGTGGTAATACATTTCACTCTCAAAATCAGAAAGTTTGCAAGTGATAATGAATTTTACTTGCAAAAACAAATTTCACTTGCAAAATCAGAAAATTCTGTATATGGACATAACATACAGTAAACAACGACTCGAGTTAAACATGTGTGTTTTGTATTATTACTGTCGGTAAGACAATAAAGTTGATAAATATAAATGATATTGCTGCCATAATGTCTGAAACATATGTCACCAGCCCTGAATACACAGAACTGTTACCAGTCAGATTAGATAGTAAGGATATGGACAGTTTGTGGCAAAACGGGCAATTACCTGATAACCCGTCCGAATGCTATAGCGCAAATGATACAGGTGATGACAACGTTGATGTATCCCAGGTATCAATCTGTGAACCCCCGTCCCAGATATTTTATGTATTGGCTTTATTTAGCATCAACGAACTAGAGAATTGCTGCGATAGACCAAAAAGTCTTCTGATTAACCATATTTTGTACATGACGCATCGTAGCACACCGGATCAGCTGCAACACAAACTGTTCTATATTGCTAAGTAACGCAACGATTTTCCTCAACAATTCAGCCAATGACTCCGCGTAAACAAAATTGGAGGAAGAACTTTGTGAATCGCGTGACCAAAATAAAAAACAGCATGAAGTATGGGCAAAAGACAAAAACAACTTTGATATCCGTAGGAACACACTAAACGAAGAAATTGTTAAAAACAATACCTTCCAGTCCAACACTGAAAAGAAAATGTTTAACTTCAACAAGGACGTAAAAACTGTGGCTGAAAATATAACTGATTTTCTAGCGATATCGAACAGAACAGACAACAGTCAAGTTGTAAAAATTCTGTCAAACTGGTGACTCAAAAGATGAAATCGTTAGAGGAAGAAATACAAAGGATGGACGACATATTGCAGGAAACAGACAATCTCTCGCAGAACATTCAACACACTAATGATTAAACTGACAAAAGTTCAAAAGAGTAAACAGAAAGTCAAAACCTCAAACAGTATTGGGAAAAAAGCCAATGACGATGGAGAGCTGCCCTCCATGGAGGTGTGATGAATCAGTTACGCATTGACACTCGCGCAACACGATGTGATACATTTCAGCGATCTGTATCAAGATACAGAATCAAGTCAACGGGTTAGGGATGTAACAAAAGTTGCTCAGCCTGCTCACCAACTCAGTCGGAAACCGATCGCAGTACCAACTGATGTTTGCCTAAGCGAGGTTAACCATACGTCAGATAAAACTGGAAGTAAAAGTCCAAACCCTGATCCTCGTCAAATCAAGGTTTACTGTCCCTCATCAGTGTGTCACCCTACTGAGCCACGACAGGTGTTTTGGAATGAGCGTAATGACCAAAAGTGACATAGTCCATGGGATGTGCTTAAATTATGAAGGGATAATGGAAATCCATATTCCAAAGATATAGATTGTTAATATAGCGACATATGTTCGGCCCAGCTTGAAGCAGCAGATAACTGTATACCCAAAAATGTATATAGAAATTATCAAAAGCCTTACTGGGACGAAAGTCTAACGCTACATAATGAAATGTTACAGAAGAGAAATGTGTGGATATGATCCGGAAAGCGTAGACGATATTGTCGAAGATTTTCTGAATATAAAAACTGTAAAAAAGAATTTCGACTTCAACTCAGGAAATCATTTGAATCCTACATGAAAAGCCAATTTGCTGAAATTGATAGATCGGGCAAACTTGACCAGAACCTTTTGGGCAGCTTTTCAAAAGGAAAAAAAAGAAAAAAGTTCCCAATGATATTTTAAAAGGTTGGTCTCTACATTTTCAAGATATATTTAGAAAACAGAATGCTAAAGAATTTGTCTGTCATTTTCGTGACGAGATTGAAAATAGAATCAAAATGTTAAAATCTCGTATTCATTCTGATGAAGATCTGTTTTCATATGATATTTTTACTTCTAGTGAAATCAATCTAATTTGCAAAAACCTGAAGTCAAATAAAGCAGGCGGACGTGGAGGTCTGATATATGAACATATTAAATATGCAGGAAACTCTGTAATTTACCATATACGAATATATTCCTAGAAACTGGAAACGGTGTATTATAGTAACTCTATATAAAGGTCCAGGAAAGCTGATCCTAACAGTTATAGGGGTTTAACCCTCTTGCAAGTATTTTTTAAAGTGTTTGAAATGGCGACTGTAAAGAGAATTAACAATATAATAGAGTCTGATGTATTCCCAAACAAGCAACAGTCAGCATGTCAGAAGAATCTATGTAGTCTTTGTACTGTTATGTGTCGTTTTTAGATAGCTCTAAGGCGATTGATACCGTTTGGCACGACGGTCTATTAGTAAAATTATATGATATTGATATATATATTATTAAGTGGTAAAGTGTGGAATATTTTAAATTATATGTACACAGATATGCACAGTTCTGGAATTTTTAATGGTTTAACCGCCGTACCATTAAAGATGGAGCGAGGTATCTTACAAGGCGTGGCTCTTTCAGCCAAAATGTACTTAGTTTTTGTTAACGACTTGTTGAATGAAGTTGAAAACTGTGGTAGGGGCGCAATGATAATCGATAAAACTGTAAATGTTCCAACTCAATCAGACAATATCTGTTTGGTAAGTACAAATATTACAAGTCTAAATAAAATGTTAACTATTTATGAATCATACAGTCGAAAGTGGCGTTTTTTTGTAATCTGGGTCAAAAAGTAAAGTTGTCGTATTTTCAAATAAAAGAAACATACAAATTAACTGTACTGTATGTCTTTATGGGAATATATATACCTGTCGTTTCAGAGATTACTCATGAAGGTATCTCATTGAATGATAAGCACAATTCCATTGAAAGAACAAAACAAGCGTGTCAAAAAATAAAAAGTGGTACTATGGCCCTTTTACGTTCTTGGGCACATCAATGCGCACTTAACCCATTAACTGTTGCTAAAATTGTAAAAATTAGTCTACCCGTCTGCGCTTTACGGATGTGAACTCTGGGTACTTTCAAATACTGAGTTATTGATGTTAGAGAGAGCTCAATATTTTATTGTTAAGTCAATCCAAGGTTTCGGAAAAAGAACAAGAACTGATATGTGTATTTCTTTAATCGGATGGTTTTCTATAGAGGCGTACATTGTCAGAATACTTAAGAAGTATAATCTATATGAGTACATTGTACTATTTCTAGATGATGGTGTTTTTCCAAGTAAAATGTATTGGAAGTCATTGATTTATAAATCCGTAACAAATTATAAAACTAATACATGGATACAAAGAATGTCTAATGACACAGACTTTACACGATTTTTATTGCTACATGACTATCTAAAACCTCATTTTTTCTGGAAATTGCTTTGCTTCACCCACATTTTCTTGATAATATCGGCTATATAATGAAATTGATTGTATCTATACGTGTTAGTAACGTACAACTTTTATGTCATCATTGTGGCTATTTCTGCACAGATTTTGTATCTCATGTGATTCTGCATTGTTCTGTAACAGAAACTATTTGTGACAATTTATGGTGTATAATTGCCTGCATTTTAAGTATTCATTTATTCACATTTTACTAGGAGGCCCAATGACCTATCATTTAAATGAAATTAATTTTGAAGAATTTACACTAGAATCCGTATATGCGATAATAGAATGTTTGACTCTATTTTTACTGGCTACATAAACCAATAATATATCACTGATAGTTTACCATATGTATATACGTCTGTGAACTTGTATGAATGTCACGATTGTTGTCATTTTGTAAATAATGTATTATTCATGTACATTATGTATTCCAACACGATTCAATTGTAACGCATGTTTTGATTGGATACGGACCATGTTCTAATCTGCGATAGAATCATGATCAATCGTGGCGTCAAGCACGCCTCTTAGCGAAATCCCGCTAATAAGGCTAGTAGGCAACTGAATTAAAAAATAAAAAGTATACATTCCTTGTTCTTACCTCCATTTATTACTGAAACGTTCGTTCCATCTGTGCAAAGGCATCTATTTAGATCCGAAATCAAATGAAACGTTTCACATGTGTCGTATGCATTTACACAAAACTCTTCACAAATCTATACAAATAATCAGCGATTTTGTTGATAAGCACAGATTGGTATGCATACTGATATGGAAATGTAAAAACTTGGTCAATAATAATCCAAATGTGTCGTATAAATTTTGGTAACAGGACGTTCACGAACAATCCAAATATTCCGCTTCGTCAACATACACATCGAGCTCTTGCCAGTATGGGCGGGGCCAAATGACCGACTTTTGAAAGCTTCTTTCTGATTGGTTAGTCCGCTGCAGAATAACACGTCACCAGTTCAGGTCACAAAGTATTTTACTACATACTTTTGTACAAGGAAATACAATGTTTCTAATGTTGTGAAGGTGTGTTAGAATGGGGGTTATACGTTGTATATATATCGGTCTCGAGTTCAAACCCAAATTTCATGTTCTTATAATCGCCAGTATAGCCATTCAAAACAACGTACTATCCCCTAATTATCATTGGTTCAATGTATTTATTATGTATTATCATTGGTTCAATGTATGCATTTATTATGTATTACATATGTATCATTGATTCAATGTATGTATTTATTATGTATTATTATTAGGGCCCCGTATCGGAGATATGGGTGCCCTATAGTAATCACTCTGTTCATCTGTCTGTCCGTCTGTCTGACCGTCTGTCTGTCTGTCCGTCCACAAATTTTGTTCCTGGCTGATAACTTTAGTATTAATAGACTAATTTACATGAAACTTGGTCAAGATGTTCAGTTCACAAAACTACACACTGAGGCAAAAGGTCAAGGTCAAAGGTCAAGGTCATTAGGTTCAAAGGTCAAGGTCAATTTCGCATCTTTTCACTGATGAATATTTTGTTAGGACATGATGAAGCAAAGTTGATCACAATTAAACAAGGAGTCAAATGACCAAAGGTCAAGGTCACTGGGTCAAAGGTCAAGGTCAAATTTTGTAGCTTTTGACTGATGAGCATGTTATGACATTATGAAGCAAAGTTGGTCGGAATTAAACCAAGAATCAACTGACCAAAGGTCAAGATCACTGGGTCAAAGATCAAGGCCAAATTTTGTATCTTTTCACTGATGAACATTTTGTTACGACATGATGAAGCAAAGTTGGTCGGAATTTATTAAAGAGTCAACTGACTTATGGTCAAGATCACTGGATCAAAGGTCAATGTCAAAGTAAGTATCATTTCACTGGTGGGATTTCGTTATGACACTTTGAAGCAATGTTGGTCAGAATTAAACAAGGAGTTATTTGACCAAAGGTCAAGGTCACTGGGTCAAAGGTCAAGGTCAAATTTTGTATCTTTTCACTGATGAACATTATTTTTATGTTATTATGAAGCAAAGTTGTTCAGAACTTAACACGGAGTCAACTGACCTAAGGTCCAGGTAACGGGGTCCTAAGGTTCAAGGTCAAGGTCAAGTTTTGTATTTTTCACTGATGAAAATTTTGTTATGATATTACGAAGCAAAGTTGGTCGGAATTAAAGAATTAGTCAACTGACCAAAAGATCAGGGTCACTGGATTAAAGGCCAGGTAATTTGGGTCCAAAAGTCAAAGACAAAGTGGATCTCTGACTTTGACCCTGGCTCTTGATGTAGGAGATATTTAATGTGAAAAAACCCCATATCAAAGCTAACAAATGAGTATTGCACCGGTATTTACATTTCTGTTAGCCCAGCAAATATGGAGGTGGAAGGAAACAAGACTCACATCATAGTACATGTAAAATGCATATTTTGCTTCCTTGCGATTCTTTTTGAAGTCTTAAATGTCAGACGTCAAGCTCAGCTATTTGGGCAGATTGCTTCTTGATGATTATGGGGGATATATTGCCACAAGACGGGGCCCTTACTGACCTGTCAGTGTTCTAGTTGGTTCAATGTATGCATTTATTATGTATTATCATGCTCTTCAATTTGAGGGAAATAAATATATATAAAAAGGAGAGAGAGATTCTACTCATCTTACAATACTGTAGAAATATGATTTACTTATCTTTGTTTTACTTTTTGAAGTGACAGCCAGAGAAGATACCATGAAGCGACAAAAGCTCGTAACAACTTGATAGCAGCCATCCAGAACATACAAAGTACCCAGAAATACCTCGACAATATCACCTTCCCGTACTGCGACCAAAAGGAGATCGTGACACTGGAAAAGGCGATGAATAACATGTACACCGACATGATGACTCCTGATCGCTATCAACACGCTGAAGCGTGTTATACAACCACTCAAAAACGTTGTGCAGCACTGCTACAGTGGTTTGATGCGGTAAGTAAAAATATTTACGGTATACATCAGTGTTATTAGATGTAAAAAATAATAACTACACATCAGTGTTATTATAAGTAAAAATATTTCCTGTACACATCAGTGTTATTATAAGTAAAAATATTTACTGTACAAATCAGTGTTATTATAAGTAAAACTATTTACTGTACAAAGTGTTATTATAAGTAAAAATATTTACTGTACAAATCAGTGTTATTATAAGTAAAAATATTTACTGTACACATCAGTGTTTTTATAAGTAAAAATATTTACTGTACACATTAGTGTTATTATAAGTAAAACTATTTACTGTACAAAGTGTTATTATGAGTAAAAATATTTACTGTACAAATCAGTGTTATTATAAGTAAAAATATTTCCTGTACACATCAGTGTTATTAAAAGTAAAACTATTTACGGTACACATCAGTGTTACTGTAAATAAAATATTTACTATACACATCAGTGTTATTATAAGTAAAAATATTTATTATACACATCAGTGTTATTATAAGTAAAATCAGTTACTCTACACATCAGTGTTATTATAAGTAAAAATATGTACTGTACACATCAGTGTTACTATAAGTAAACATATTTACTGTACACATTAGTGTTATTATAAGTAAAAATATTTACTGTACACATCAGTGTTATTATAAGTAAAACTATTTACTGTACACATCAGTGTTATTATAAGTAAAAATATTTACAGTACACATCAGTGTTATTAAAAGTAAACTATTTACAGTACACATCAGTGTTACTATAAGTAAAACTATTTACTGTACACATCAGTGTTATTAAAAGTAAAAATATTTACAGTACACATCAGTGTTATTAAAAGTAAACTATTTACAGTACACATCATTGTTACTATAAGTAAAACTATTTACAGTACACATCAGTGTTATTGTAAGTAAAACTATTTACTGTACACATCAGTGTTATTATAAGTAAAAATATTTACAGTACACATCAGTGTTATTAAAATTAAACTATTTACAGTACACATCAGTGTTACTATAAGTAAAACTATTTACAGTACACATCAGTGTTACTATAAGTAACACTATTTACTGTACACATCAGTGTATTATAAGTAAAAATGTTTACTGTACACATCAGTGTTATTATAAGTAAAACTATTTACAGTACACATCAGTGTTACTATAAGTAACACTATTTACTGTACACATCAGTGTTATTATAAGTAAAAATGTTTACTGTACACATCAGTGTTATTATAAGTAAAACTATTTACAGTACACATCAGTGTTATTAAAAGTAAAACTATTTACAGTACACATCGGTGTTATTATAAGTAAAACTATTTACAGTACACATCAGTGTTATTATAAGTAAAACTATTTACAGTACACATCAGTGTTATTATAAGTAAAACTATTTACAGTACACATCAGTGTTATTAAAAGTAAAACTATTTACAGTACACATAAGTGTTATTGTAAGTAAAACTATTTACAGTACACATCGGTGTTATTATAAGTAAAACTATTTACAGTACACATCAGTGTTATTATAAGTAAAACTATTTACAGTACACATCAGTGTTATTATAAGTAAAACTATTTACTGTACACATCAGTGTTATTATAAGTAAAACTATATACTGTACACATCGGTGTTATTATAAGTAAAAATATTTCCTGTACACATTAGTGTTGTTATAAGTAAAACTATTTAATGTACACATCAGTGTTATTATAAGTAAAACTATATACTGTACACATCGGTGTTATTATAAGTAAAAATATTTCCTGTACACATTAGTGTTATTATAAGTAAAACTATTTACTGTACACATCAGTGTTATTATAAGTAACACTATTTACTGTACACATCGGTGTTATTATAAGTAAAAATATTTCCTGTACACATCAGTGTTATTATAAGTAAAAATATTTACTGTACAAATCAGTGTTATTATAAGTAAAACTATTTACTGTTCACATCAGTGTTACTATAAGTGAAACTATTTACTGTACACATCAGTGTTACTATAAGTAAAACTATTTGCTGTACACATCAGTGTTATTATAAGTAACACTATTTACTGTACACATCGGTGTTATTATAAGTAAAAATATTTCCTGTACACATTAGTGTTATTATAAGTAAAACTATTTACTGTACACATCAGCGTTATTATAAGTAAAACTATTTACTGTACACATCACTGTTATTATAAGTAACACTATTTACTGTACACATCGGTGTTATTATAAGTAAAAATATTTCCTGTACACATCAGTGTTATTATAAGTAAAAATATTTACTGTACAAATCAGTGTTATTATAAGTAAAACTATTTACTGTTCACATCAGTGTTACTATAAGTGAAACTATTTACTGTACACATCAGTGTTACTATAAGTAAAACTATTTGCTGTACACATCAGTGTTATTGTAAGTAAAACTATTTACTGTACACATCAGTGTTATTATAAGTAACACTATTTACTGTACACATCGGTGTTATTATAAGTAAAAATATCTCCTGTACACATCAGTGTTATTATAAGTAAAACTATTTACTGTACACATCAGTGTTACTATAAGTAAAACTATTTGCTGTACACATCAGTTTAACAGTCGTTTGATGTTTTAAGTAAAAACATTTTCTGCATACATCAGTGGTTTACAGAACAGTGAAAGATGTAAATGTAGAGTTATACTAAATTTACTGTTTTATTCCAAACTGTCCAGGTTATAAACACTACAATATTGAAGGACTTGAATGACGCTAATGCGAAAGCTGCCGAGGCTGAAAAACACCTGAGGGCTGAAAGGATGAGACTGCTGAAGGTGTTGGCTGATGAACAGAATATTGCATTCGATATGGATGAAGCAGGTAAATTGCCTTTCACTTATTCTAAAGTAACACAGGGGTCAGGTATACGTCACACATACTTAACTTTACTAACTTTACTCTACGTTTTAAATTATCCACGAGAAGCATATATATGTAACTGATCTTTGAAGGGACACAGGAAAATATTCCAAGGAAGACAGTTGGTCTCCAAAAAGCTGGTTCCTCAAAAGAATCTAAATAATAGATACAATCATTAATAATGATATTGACAGAATCCATCATATGGAGATATGTGAGGTTTGGTTATTCTACACCCAAGGGCGGAATTTTACACCCGAGGGCGGAATTCTACACCCGTGGGCGGAATTCTACACCCAAGGGCGGAATTCTACACCCGAGGGCGGAATTCCATATTCCACCAACCTATAATGATAGATTTCCACTCTCCTACTTCTTGTTCAAAATCATGGATCAAAATTATCTGTTATGGCGATATCTTTCATAGATATTGATATTTTTCATGTTGACAGATAATTAGGCCAAGCAAAGTTAAAAAGGAAGAAAAAAGTATACGTTAAAAAAACGCTGATCCTTAAAATCTTACATAAACAAAGGCGGGAGAAAAAAAATGGGAAGGACAAAAACAAAAATAACCCCATAAAACAAAAAACAATTGGAGAAAATGATTGAAATCTTGAAAATTAAAAGAAAATGTTACTTGTTTATATCTGTAGAAGATTAACAGTAAATATTTTTACTAACAATAACACTGATATTTACAGTAAATAGTGTTACTTATAGTAACACTGATGTGTACAGTAAATAGTGTTACTTACAATAACACTGATGTGTACAGTAAATAGTGTTACTTATAGTAACACTGATGTATGCAGTAAATAGTTTTACTTATAGTAACACTGATGTATGCAGTAAATATTTTTACTTATAGTGACACTGATGTGTACAGTAAATAGTTTTACTTATAGTAACACTGATGTATGCAGTAAATATTTTCACTTATAGTAACACTGATGTGTACAGTAAATAGTTTTACTTATAGTAACACTGATGTATGCAGTAAATATTTTCACTTATAGTAACACTGATGTGTACAGTAAATAGTTTTACTTATAAAAACAATTTGTTAAATGCACACATTATTTATATTTGTACTGATATCGCTTCAACTATATTGTAAAACATACACTGCATTTTGTTTCAGCCATGAAACAAATTACTATAGATTTCTTTCATGTGATAACCATCAATGTTTTACTTATTACTTGTATTGCTTCAAGCTAATCAGATGAGAGGTACGTATTTACAACAAAGTTGTAAAAGTTTTATTCTAGACAAACAATTAGATTTCTCAGAAAAGCTTATTACAGGATTAATTATGGACTAACATTTGTTGGTGTTTTTTCTAAACTGTGATAGATAGTAGTGGGCTTATTACCAGGCATGGGCTTATTGCTGGATAAATTTGGAAACAAAACTTACTTGTTTATTATTTGCTTGTTTATTATTTGCTTGTGTCTTTTATTGTTTTGAATTTTCAACTAATTTCAAGCTGGTTCACTTTCTGTTTTTCGGATTATAAAGGAATATGTCAACTGTAAAAATCTGCATATTTTTCATACATTCAATTTTTTACCATTTAAAACAATTATGCACAAGGCTTATAAGTTATTTCAAACAAAACAAAAAAAACGAAAATGTCCACCTCTTTTATGATTGTACAAAAGGTATGATTTTTGCAAATTAGATATTTTGAAATAAAATCAGGAAATATTTTGTCTGATATTGAATTTGTATATAAACATTGTAACAAATGTTAATGGTTTTAATTTCTTTGATTTGAAATTTCCAATGAAGTAATTGAACAAAATATACAAACTATGATGATTGGTCAGCGACGTTACCCAGATTTATGGTAGCAGTCTTGTTTACATGGACTTCTATGTAAATCTTACATATGACTATATAGATTGTAGACAAATCAGTAACACTCACCACAAACACCCTGATAAAAGTTCCATGATCAAGATGGTTTAGTGGAGTTCCCTGACAATCGTATAACATGATACCTGACAATAGATATTCAGTACCCAGAAAGAGTAATATACCAACAAGCGTCTGCCACAGTGAACGTTCGCCATTTTGCTCTCAATAATAACGACAATTATATTAGTGTAGTCATCTGTATGATACGATACTGACATAACAGGGAGGGGGCTAGATCTACGCCCTATCTGTAAGCTATCTGATGCAGTGTATATAAGCTCCCTATCGATAGGCAAAACGTCTCGGGGTCGAGTGACATGAACAATATACAATTTCATCTCATTGTTATACAGGTAAAAATACGAATCGCTCACTCAGTCATAGCTTGACAAAGGGACCAGTCGGTCTGGAAACGTTGTGACACGTTTAACACGTACAATTGTTTGTGTAGAAAGTAAAACTTTGATTTCATTGGACAACAGTTTCTGGGTATACGTTAATATGTAATATAAGACTTAGAAGACAGAAAATGCACCTTTACTAACACTGCACCTGTAACTGCTGACCATATACTTCTTGCCACAGGGACCTGATAATTCGTTACAGCTATATTTGGACCAAACTAAGGTGCAGAGTAATTTTGACATGTTTGGGGGTTTAGATCAATTTTCGATGCCACCCCCAATGATGATATACACCTTAGTTTAGGTTCAAATATAGCTGTAACAAATTATCAGGTCCCTGTGCGTCTTGCATGTTAATAGTGTTGACATGGGTTTGGAACAATGCATAGCATACTTGAGAATAATCGTGAAACCATTGCACAATCTAGTCTGAAATAACTGACTGGCAGTATGTCTTAAAAAGAAGATAGTATATTCAAAATCCTACCCCGTCAATACATGCCTTTTTCATTTCACTATCTGAAATAGGAGTATGCTGATGTGATGTTTCCAGACACTTCACTAAATGGCACTTGTCTTTCAGTTCGAGGAGGATGTATGAGGAATGTGGAATGCTCTGGATAAAATTATGCACATGCATGCATGTACCCTCACTCAACCAAGCAGTCATATATTCATCGTTAATTTTCATTCTGTTCTCCATTATTAACATACCTTACACCAATGTAGAATTTTCAGAGAAGAGGACTAGAAGCTCACATGATAATCATATGAGCCTTTGCTTTCTCTTTCATTTCCAGTGTTGGCCGACTCTTAACCCTTTCACCCCTAAGTTACTTTAGTAAACTCTTCCATGCATTGATCAGAATGAGTCCATTATAGTCTACAGTGGTGAAAGGTTTAACTGTTTTACAAAATTGCAAACGTAAATTCAATTTCCACAAATCAATTTCGTTGAAACTTCACAGGTGATCAGGACAGGGTCCTAACAAACCTTTGCTATTTACGAGCTATCTTGAAATCCAATAAGGCCGTCATGACAGCCATTAAAAAGATGAGTTTAAACTCATATTCTACAAAAATAATTTGTTGCTACTGAAAGGGAATGATCAACACTTGGTCCAGACAAATTCTAAGTAATTTGAAGGAAATTTGAAAAATGAACCAATATGGCTTCCATGATTCCTTTATTGACAATCTATTTGGAATTTAGACTCCCGTTCTACTGAAGTAATTTACTGATAATTGGTGGTACTAAGTAACTGTTAAGAGGGGGTTCAGACCAATTCCCGCTATTTCGGAGCTTAAAAATTTGGAATCCAATATAGGCATCTTGATATTTTTTTGAAAATCTATTTGGAACTTCAGACCCACTTCAGACCCAAATTCTATGGATACAATTTCACCGAAACTTAGTGAAAGTGATAGTCACAAGGTCTAGACTAATTATTGATATTATGGAACTGTTTTGAAGTTGAATGTGGTGGCCTCATGACAGACATTTTATAAATCAATATTGAATTTTAATGTTTAATGCAGATTCTACTGGGTCGTGGTTGCTGAAACATTAGTGCATGGTCCTGACCAATATTGTTAATTATCCCCCGCTTTCACCGAAACGGGGGATATTAATATGGGTCTGTCTGTCTGTCCGTCTGTCTGTCTGTCTGTCACGCTTCGTTTCCGTGCAATAACTATAACAAATGTTAACCGATTTTCTTCAAACTTGGTTCGATTTTGATGAAAATTGGTATATAGGGATATTAGGGAACTGCGAATTCAACTGCATCAGTTTTGTTGCCATAGCTACCACACGGAGGCTTCTGATTGGTCGGAATTAAGATATTGTTCGATTTTGATGAAAAATTGTATATAGGGATATTAGGGGACTGCTAATTCAACCGCATAGGTTTCGTTGCCAAAGCAACCACAAATAGGCTTCTGATTGGTGGAAATTAAGATATTGTTCAATTTTGTGAAATTGGTATCTGGGGATATAAGGGGACTGGGAATTCAACCGCATAGGTTTCGTTGCCATAGCAACCACAAATAGGCTTCTGATTGGTGGAAATTAAGATATTGTTCAATTTTGTGAAATTGGTATCTGGGGATATCAGGGGACTGGGAATTCAACCGCATAGGTTTCGTTGCCATAGCAACCACACAAAGGGTTCTGATTGGTCGAAATTTAGATATTATGTTATTTTTATGAAAAATGGTATATAAGTGGTATAAAGGGGACTGCGAATAAAACCCGCATAAGTTTTGTTACCATAGCAACCACACAGAGGCTTCTGATTGGTCGCAATTTAGATATTGTTTGATTTCGATGAAAATTGGTATATAGGGGTATAGGGGACTGCAAATTCAATCACATATTTTCCGTTGCCATAGCAACTACACAGAGGATTCTGATTGGTTGCAATTTAAAAATTGCTCAATTTCACTTAAATTTAGTATGTACATTGTAGGTGTACTATGGCAATGCAATCCTTTTCTGGTGCATCTTTGCGACTATGGGGGCAGTTTGGGGGACCTCTGTAATGGTCCCCCATTACAATTAGTACTTGTTGCTGTTGATATTGTTAAGATGTTTCAACCAAATTCCTTATGCACATTCAACTCATGCTAAGTTTGCCAACCGATGTGATTTGTGCATATTTACGGATAATCAATGAGGTATAGGGCTTTTTTTTCTTCAAGTTTCAAGCTATACATTATGTCTCAACAGCACTTGTTGCTGTTGATATTGTTAAGATGTTTCAACCAAATTCCTTATGCACATTCAACTCATGCTAAGTTTGCCAACCGATGTGATTTGTGCATATTTACGGATAATCAATGAGGTATAGGGCTTTTTTTTCTTCAAGTTTCAAGCTATACATTATGTCTCAACAGCACGATACTCACATGTTTAAACCTAACCTCCATAATGTTAACCTACAATATGTCCTGCAAGCGGGGGATATAAATTCCATGAATTTGCTTGTTTCAGACCAATTTAAAATCCAATATGACCACCAGAGCTGTCATCACAAGTGTAATTCAACTTTAAGTATGATCAGTGTGATGTTAACACAATTGTGATGTGTCATTGTAGCAGGTCCTTGTGTCTGCTCCTCTTTTTACAGTTAAAAGGCATCTTAACCCTTTCACCCCTATGCGACTTTAGTAGATTCTCCTATGCATTATTCTGGATGAGTCCAATGTGGTTTACAGTGGTGAAAGGGTTAAGATCTCTAGTGCCGTCATTAATTCTATTTTCGTCTTGAAAGATTTTCAACGTTGTATGGGACTTTGTTAGCTGCACGGCCTTGTGACTTCAATCATAAACTCCTGGACCCTTCCATATGGACTGGCTGTTGTGTAATTCCATAGATTAAATGAGACACAATTTTCAGTGAAACCTATCTAATTTGACACCCTTTTAGGCACAGCATGTTGGTTGGATAAGACAGAATGTCAGAATACACAGTTCATATTTTGTAGTTTTCATTCGAAATGAGATTGTTAAATAATGATGGATCGAACAGGATGTTTTAATACTCAAGGGACCAGAATAGACAGGTTTCATTGGACTTGTACCTGGACTATCACTGTTACCTTGGGTTAACAAACATCTATAGAGATATGCATATATGGGGCAGTGAAGTAGTTCCAACAGTGTAACCTGATTGCATTGGACATGTACTTGGACCAATACTGTTAAATACAATACTTTGATATAAATCTTTTAATGGACCTTGGATTACAAATATCTATAGATTTATATCGGATAAAGAAGTAATTTTAACAATGTTCGGTGTTTTTAGCTCACCTGGCACGAAGTGCCAAGTGAGCTTATGCCGTGGCGCGGCGTCCGTTGTCCGTCCGTCCGTCTGGCGTCCAGCGTCAATAATTTACTT